TTTTATTTATTAAAAATATTAAAAAATACTATCAAATATTTTTTTAACATTCTAAAATAATTTTGTATTTAATTTTCTAACTACTTTTTATAGAAATTATGGTCGGAACAAATAAATCCTAAACCATAATGATTTTAGAGCCTGCGTGTTTGTGTTGTTTTCTTCTTATTTGTTTCTCTTTTAACATGATCCACTTGACGTATCTACGATATATATCTAAGTCCTCATATTTTTTATTGATATTGAAGTTTTGAAAATTTGCCTTACACATTCATTGATGTACCCATATATATTGACTTATAAATTAAGTAATAATTAATTTATCATATCAATTTTGTATTCAAATTGTCACATGTCCATTAATATAATTCATTTATAAATTAAAAATTGATATAATATTTTATAAAAAAATAAGTATCGATGAATTAAAAAAATAACTTGCATAATTGAAAATTATATAAAATATAACTAAACAGCATTATTAACCTTATCTTTTAGCGCGGTCCGCGTTGACTTAAAATGTTCGGACTCCATTCTCTCTTTTTTCTATTTTTTTTTTTTAATTTTCCCCAAAGTCTGTCAACAATAATTTATTGGCGGTGCATGTCATCACCAAAAAATTCTTTTTCTGAAGGAGACATGGGGCACTCAAGGAGAATTCTAGGCGGTCAAGAAAATGGCTAGCCGCCTATTGGCCATTGGATGCACTGCCAAGACTAAGGATCCGGCGGCAAAACGACATTTCGGTGGCGGTGTGAATCCATATGAAGCGTATATTAAAGTCTAGAACTATAAGTTTATGCCTTTTATTCTTCTTCTTATTATTATTATTATTTGGTCTTTTGAAATGGTCCAGCTTTTACCGTCAAATATGAATATTGGTTTAGCAAGAGAAGGCATGCAGGCCAATTGAACCAATTATTTTGGTCAGAGAGAATCATCTATCTATTATTGTTCAGCTTGCTGGAATTGTAGACTGAAGTGAGGATTACTTCTTGGAATTCATTTTCTACTTTTGGACTAACTCAATTCTTATGTCAATTGAATAACTATTTTTTCACTATTTATAACATTTTGTCAATATTTTTTTATTAAAAGGTTGGAAAATTTTGATTAAACAAAACATGTGTGTCAATCCTTGTGGTTTTATTTATTGATTCAATTCATCTGGTTAAAATTTTTCCCACGTAAACAAGTTTTCTAGTACAGTTTTCACCCCTTAAGAAAAATCTAACAAAATCTAACAAAAGCTTAGTTTTTGTTTCGGAAAATAAGGATCAGATTCACACAAAAAAAAAAAAAAAAAGAGAAAAAGTTTGAAACTCCTGAATCAAGACAACAAATATTCATAAATTATTCTTAAACTTGTTTCCATAAATTTTTTGTTGGTAATATTGACTCAAATCTCATAAGAGATTTGTTTGAAATTTATTATAGATTTATTTGAGATTTGTCAGATATAATTGATGGATAAGAAGACTTGCAAAAAAAAAATTCTAAGAGAAAGATGATTCTTAATAAGTAAGTTTGACTTACAAGAGAAGAGTTCTAAAAGAAAAGATATTTTTAATATGTAAGTTTAACTTACAAGAGAAGAATTTTAAGAAGAGAAAGATTCTTAATGGGCAAGTTTGTATGGTTATAAATATGTGAAGTCTCTACATTGTTAGGTATAAGAAAAAGATATAAGCAAGTTGTAAGGTTTTATGAGATGACACCACATAGGAGTATTGGAGCTCTACGTCTTATGGGTGTTTATGTTTGTTTATGAGTGGACTAGAAAGACTGAGAAAATCTACATACGTATGATGTATGGGAGCATGAGTGTATGTGTTTGGTTATGTTGAAAGGGTGCACAAGGGTTTGGGTTTGTGTTTGTTTAGGTTGAGAATACTCTATAGGACTAGAGAAGATTGAGAGTGTCTTATGAGTATTGATTGTTGAGTGAGGTTGATGATTTGAGTATGTTTGTAATTCTCTATAACTAGTGGATCTTGTTTCTCATCTGTGGATGTAGGTCAGTTGGATCGAACCACGTTAAATTATTATCTTTTGTGTGTTTAATTTATTGTTTGATTTTGCTTCCGTTAGTGTGATTGGATTGAAAGTTTTTAGCCCAACAAATTGTATCAGAGCTGTGGTATTTTCCAACAAGTGGTATCAGAGCTGAATGTTTGAAACGTGAGAAGAGTTGAAGATTCAAGATGTGGAAAGAACCGAAGGTTCGAGACATGAAAGAGCTGAAAGTTCGAGATGTTGAAAGAGCTAAAGGTTTAAGATGTGGGAAGTGCATGGTTTGAGACATGAGAAGAAACAAGTCCAAAAGAGCTCAATTCAAGAGAAGAGTTTGAGTTTAAGTTTTGAAGATTGAAGATTGGTTTGTATGAAACGAGAAGACACACAAGAGAAGATGATTGTGAGACTTTTGTTGCAGGTAGAGCCAAACATGTCTAACATGAAGATAGATGATTGATGAAATTTGAGTCAATGTGAAGATTGTTGAGAATATTGACTCAAATCCCATAAGAGATTTGTTTTGGATTTGTTAGAGATTTATTTGAGATTTGTCAAATATTGATTGATGGATAAGAAGACTTGCAAAAGAAAAATTTTAAGAGAAAGATGATTCTTAATAGGTAAATTTGACTTGCAAGAAAAGAATTCTAAAAGAAAAGAGATTTTAATATGTAAGTTTAACTTACAGGAGAAGAATTCTAATAGGAGAGGGATTCTTAATGGACAAGTTTGTATGATTATAAATATGTGAAATCTTTATAGGGTTAGGTATAAGAAAAAGATGTAAGAGAGTTGTAAGATTTTATGGGATAGACACCCATAAGAGTATTGGGGCTCTACATCTTATGGGTGTATATATTTATTTGTGAGTGAATTAGAAGGACTGAGAGGGTCCACATACATATGATGTATGGAAGCATATGTGTATGTGTTTAGTTATGTTGAAAAGGTGTACAAGGGTTTAGGTTTGTGTTTGTTTGAATTAAGAATATTGTATAGGACTAGAAGGGATTAAGAGAGTCTTATGAGTATTGATTGTTGAGTGAGGTTGATGATTTGAGTATGTTTATAATTTTTTATAATTAGTAGATCTTATTTCTCATCTGTGAATATAGATCAATTGAACTTTACTACGTTAAATTATCGTCTCTTACGTATTTGATTTATTATTTAATTTTATTTTCGTTGATGTGATTGGATTAAAAATTTTTAGCCCAACATTTTCTTGGGTAATGGATAAGCTAGCACGGCAATCCAGTTGTCTATTCGGTGGCGGCTTTGGCCTGTGGCAAATGGTTTTAGATACATTAATCCAACCACTCCAAAAACCTTTATTTTTTCCTTTTTTTCTTTTGTATTTGAAACTTTCAACAGTAATATTCATATTTGGAATGCAAGCGTTCCAGTCTACTGTTTCTTCCATATGTAGCAGGAAATTGGAAAAACGAAATAGTACTATAGCTAATACAAAGCATAATAATGTTAGTGCCCCACTCTCTATAAAACAAAAAACTAAAATTCTAAAATGAGGGAAATAAGCCCTTTGACTTCAATAGTATTTAATAATGGCCTAACAGCCTAAGTGCCATGGTCTAATTTTAGCCCATTAGGCTAAGTGTCATGCTTTCGAAGGGAGTTATAAGTCGTCCACTAATTAACGTTAGATTAAGTATATAAATTTTCATATTATTTTTAATTTTGAAGACGTTTTTTAAATAAAATTATGAGATTCAATGAAAAATAAATAATCGTTTATAAGTTAATGTAAATTGTAATGTTAAAATTATGATTAAGACTAATCGGTTGACAAACGATATTTAAAAATTTTTTTTTTCATAATTGGACGAAGGTAAGGATTTTAAATTTAAATTTAAATTTTTATAGTGTTTAAGATAAAATACGTATTAGTGCATTCATACTCAATTGAATAACAACTACATGGAATGTGAGATATCATATCAATAAATTAAACTGTACAGTATGATGCAAGTGGAAGTAAGAATTTTAAATTCAAAATTAAAATTTTATATTATTTAATAAAGTACGTATTAGTTTATTCATACCCAATAAAATAACAAGTACGTGTAATGTGAGATGTAACGACAAAAATTATTCTATATAATATGATGAAATTAGACTTAGTCGTGTTACAACCGGTAAATCAATGATTTTTAATGCAAATTTTTGTTGTGGAAAATATTTGTTAATAATAAAATAATAAAATTTTAATTTTAATAATCAAAATTCAAACTTTGGTAGCTTCAAACGTTAATATATATATATATATATATATATATATATAAATTGCTGTGTGCTGTTGTTTCAAATAATTTTGCTGAAAAAAGAAATAGTAACAATTTTGGTGTACATGTATACTATAGAATTAAAATGCAATATATTTGTAATGGTAGGTCGGAACATGATATTTTTTTATGTTAAAAAAATTTTTATTGCTTACGAATTTTGGTTTCGCTCGAGCTGTGAGTCTTGTGACTTTTCTTTTATAGTTGTATGTGTTAAGATTTTCTGACTCAGAAAACTGATGGTATACATTCAGATGGACTTTTCATTTCCATTTTTCTAGGTAACACATGTAGATATTTCTCTTTGCACATGTACCGATTGACTTTTGTAAATGCATGGATTTACCCGGAATTTGATGAAACCGCTATTACTTTGTAATGTAGAGGTTTTGAAAATCATTTACCAAGTATCATGCAGATCATAGATTGGTAATGCTCACACAATTAGATATTTCATCATACAGATATTGACCTCTCCAATAATATCTTCCTTGATTATTTCATTAATATATATGTATTGTCATTATTCTTATTTTTAAAATTTATATTTAATATATTATTAGTATATATTTTTTAAAATTATTTTTTTCTTAGATGACATTGACGGTGTATACACCGTCGAAACAAACTTTTGGCTTTTTTTTTTTTTTTTTTTCATTTTAGACAAAACACAAAAGAAAATATCCTAGAATTTGACTTCAATTTAAACTCTCTGTCCCTCGGCATTAAATAGTGAGAAATGAGTGATTTCGTCTCATTGGCAACCAAAGATAAACGCCTCTTGTTCTTTTGCGTAGGCTAGTGAGCAAGAGAGACAGAAATTATAATGGCCAACGGAAGCTCCGACCACTCCGAATCTTTTGTCAAGATTCCACCAATAAAATTCACCAAGCTCTTTATCAACGGCAAGTTTGTGGATTCCATTTCAGGTGTCTTTCCATTTCCATTTCTTTTTTTTTTTTTGTTCTTTCTCTGAAACATACTTGCTTTTATTTGGTGTTTTATCTCCCATGTTTCTGGTTTTATTTTTTGGGCTTATGGTAATAGTTTGATTAAACAACAACTTTTGTTTGTATGGTAATAGTATGCTTAAACAACATCTTTTGTTCTTTGAATAATTATAAGAATTAATTAATGAATGAATGATTTGATTTTACCAGGGAAAACGTTCGAGGCAGTAGATCCAAGAACAGGGGAGGTGATAACAAGAGTTTCAGAAGGAGATGGAGAGGATATTGATTTGGCTGTGAAGGCTGCACGTCATGCTTTTGACCATGGCCCTTGGCCTCGCATGTCCGGCTATGTACGTTTTACTAGTTACTTTCTTTTCTTCTCCACTTTTAAATCCTTTTGATATGCGTTCCAACATTTGGTATACTTTATCTTTTGTCTTTCTCTATATATAAATCTTTTTTTTTTGTCAAAAAAAAGTTTAGAGCAGGAAGGTTATCCCAATCCTTTTGCTATCTTATTAGCCTCAGTAGTCATGAGGTCAGCTGGCTTTATCCATTCGTTTCTTTTGAACAAAACCAGTGGTCCAACACTCATTGTGAATCAAGCCAATGGTTAAGGTGTTTCTAAGCAGTGTGTTTTTTTTAAATGATTCTGCACGGAAAAAAAATTCTACAAATCATTTTTTTCCCAAAGGAAAAATACGACCGAATTATTTTCTGATTATAACATGTTCTGAAAGCAACCAAAGACAAGTTCAATTCAAAAACCAAATGGGCAATATGGAGACGTGTCGTGCGTGTTTTATCTGGGCTCATGAATCGACGCCATTAAACGACAAAACGCCGACGCTAATTAATGAAGTGTGACGCACGTTCATTCTCTACCATAAACATGAAGGGGATCGGAATCAATTATGCACTGCAATATTGCAGTGAAGCCGCAGAGTGCCATCCCCTGCATAGGCCTATATGCCAACGTGATATAGTTTCGATCATCGCTAGCTTGATCAATTATCAAAATAATAAAAAAAGTTTCAGTGTGTCTTTTTGGGACCTACTAATAGGAGGTTATATTAAGTCCTTAAAAAGTAATCTCATAGTAAAATTTTTTTATGAAGTCAACGTGTCTTAATATGTGAATTAATATATATATATATATTTAAGTTCAAATCTTTATACGAGATTTTGTAAGTTAAATGTTGATTTTATATTATTTATTTAATTCTTTGGATGAATTAATGGTATCTTTTGATGAATGTATTATATCGAAATTTGTTTAATTGTAATTTTTGCTTGTGATATGAAATCTCATCAAAATAGTGCTTTACATTACATGTGCAGTTGTTCATATTGGAAGAGTAATTATATATGTATCAAAGATTCAAAATACATAAATAAATTCATATGCCTAAACATTGCCATTTTGCTTGCTACTTCATTACTTGGTATATTCTTTTTAATTCTTCCCTTTAAATTGGATATTAGGAGCGAGGAAGGATCTTGATGAAGTTTGCAGACTTAATTGAAGAAAATATGGAAGAATTAGCTGCATTGGATACCATTAATGGGGGCAAGCTGTTCTCTCTTTGCAAGGTCCTGGACATCCCAGGTGCAGCAAGGATTCTTCGTTACTATGCAGGTGCAGCCGATAAAATTCATGGAACAGTGTTAAAATTATCAAAGGGGCTTCAGGGCTACACTCTCAGGGAACCAATTGGGGTAGTAGGAAGTATAATTCCTTGGAATTTTCCCACTATCATGTTTTTCATGAAAGCTGGCCCGGCATTAGCCGCAGGCTGCACCATGGTCGTCAAGCCAGCTGAGCAGACCCCTCTTTCAGCTCTTTATTATGCTTATCTCGCTAAGCTGGTAATTAAGCTTGGATAATAAGTTTGAAACTCTTTTGAAAAGAAAAAATGGTTAAATGGGTTTTTAATGTGGCCTTCTTTGTCTGGTTTTGTTAATTTCAGGCTGGCATCCCTGACGGAGTGCTCAATGTAGTAAATGGATATGGAGAAACTGCTGGAGCTGCCATTAGCTCTCATATGGACATTGATAAAGTGAGATTTAATTTCATATTTAAGATATATAAGAAAATTTCACATTGATGAAGAAATATTAGCTTACTTTGGTTAGCCTTTTAGGTGAGTTTTACAGGATCTACTGAAGTTGGGCGTAAGATAATGACAGCAGCAGCAGGAAGCAATCTGAAACCCGTGTCACTAGAGTTGGGGGGCAAATCACCTCTATTAATATTTGATGATGCTGATATTGACCATGCTGCAGATATTGCTTTTAAAGGCATCTTCTTTAACAAAGTAAGTGATTTTTGCTTTTATGTAAGGTTAAATTTTACAATCCAACCTTAATCTGGCAATCCAAATTTTAACTGTTTTAGCTAACCGTTTGATCTTCTAAATTTGTAGGGAGAAATTTGCGTGGCAAGTTCTCGTGTTTATATTCAAAAGGTATTTATGAAAAAATTGTGAAGAAGTTGGTAGAGAAGTCAAATGCATGGGTTGTTGGGGACCCTTTTGACCCTCGAGTTCATCAAGGACCCCAAGTAAGAGTAAACATGATTCAAGGATAAGTCATATATATTATATGTAGTTCCCTTTACTTGAACCCAGAAATATGAATAATGCAATATATAAAATATATATATATATATATTTCCAAATGGTGTAGACTGATAAGAAGCAATTCGAGAAAATTCTCACCTACATTGAGCATGGAAAAAGAGAAGGAGCTACTTTGCTAACAGGGGGCAAGCATCTCGGCAAGAAGGGATACTACATTGAGCCTACCATATTTACTGATGTTGAGGTAGACTTTCTAACTAATCCTAGAGAAGCTTAAAAACTACGATGTTATCGTAAGTTTGCTTTAAATTCTTAAAAACTCTCCAAAACTTGTACACAGGAAGACATGATCATAGCAAAAGAGGAAATATTTGGTCCCGTGATGTCATTGATGAAATTCGAGTTAAGTAGATTTTCTCCTCTTTTTCTGTTGAATGAAATAAGTTCTCTTTTTTTTTTTTTTGTTGGTCATTTAATTTATCCACTGGCGATTTCAGAACTATGGAAGAAGCAATTAAGAGGGCAAATACCACAACTTATGGCCTGGCAGCTGGGGTTATAACCAAGAACTTGAACGTGGCGAACACCGTCTCAAGATCGATCCGTGCCGGTGTTATCTGGATCAATTGTTACACTGCATTTGATTTGGATTGCCCCTATGGTGGATACAAGATGAGCGGGTTTGGAAGGGATTATGGTTTGGATGCCCTTAATCAGTATCTCCAAATCAAGTCCATTGTAACTCCCATTCACGATTCTCCCTGGCACTGAACCCTAAATCCAGCAGTAGTAACTTATACCTGGAATGTAATTTTAGGAGCATAAAGTCAAAAATTAAACATAGTGATTTCTACTGCAGATGCCAGGTAGCTATGTCTTGTCATATCGGGTGATTTGGTTTGTGACACACTGATTTGATTTCATAATAATGTCTTAGTCTTGATGAGACACTTCTTCATTTACCTTAAATTCTTATGATTTGATTAAAGCTTTAATTTTGGAAAAGTCGATCCACCTTTTATATTAATTTGTTCAAGTAAAAGTAAGATTTTCAAAGCTTTGGAACTGACAATACAAATCAAAGCTGAAATTTTCACCCAAGATAAGTCTGAAAATTTTTCTACACTTTCATAAGTAAAATTTAACTCTTTCCCTCGACTCCAAACCACAAAACATACGCATCAGCTGAAAATACTAAAAACACCAACACTCTACGGCGTTTCAAATCACTTCCCCATCTTTCCCCTTAATTTCATCCCCAGAACCCTCTCCATCTTAGCCAACACGGCTTGATTCGGCACCGCCTTCCCATTCTCATAATCCTGAACCACCTTAGGCTGCTCGTTAATCAGCTTCGCCAACTCAGCTTGGCTTATTTTCTTCTCCACCCGGGCCTTCTGTATGGCTTGCCTAACATCCGTCGAGACCCGGTCTAGAGCCGCCGGTTCCGTCCCTTCATCAAGCTTCCTCGCGTTTAGCACCGGCCCCGTGGTTTTCTTGTTCGACCCAGCATCGAACTTCTTGATCGTTTGAACCGGTGACCCGAACGCAGCGCTAGGTTCACGGCCTTCGGATCGCGTAGCTCCTGAGCCTTGGGCTTGGACTTGTGTAGCACCACAGGCTCCCAGTCCTGAGTTAGGGCTCCATCAAATCCGCTGGGCATTGTTGAGAACAATGGAAGAACCTTTGATGAAACAAAATGGAAAAACTCGGTCTCGCAATGATAAATTGGAGCATATAGAAGGCCGTGGCTCCGGAAATTTCTGGCGGTTTTTAATATCCGGAAGGTTCTGTGCAAGTTTACGTTGTAAAACTGATGACATGGCAATTATTATTTTTTTGTGACGTGGATAATAGAAACACGGTGATTCGATTGATGCCCAAGCAAAAAAGAAACGGAAAATATCTGATTGACTTGGTGACGTAGTGATCTGTCATTTATTTAGAGTCATTTGACGTCAAGTCCGATTCTTACGTGGCTGATGGTGAGAATGGATTGGACGCTTCAGACTGAGCGGCAGAAATCTGACGTTCGAGATTTTCAGCAGGAAACACTGTAAAACAATTTTCAGACGTTAGGAATCCCAAGGGGCAAAAGTAGGCCCCAAAATTGTGATTGTTAAAGTCTTTTTCCCGATTTCGCAGCTCTCTTTCTCATTCTGAAAATGCAGCGCTAAAAATCAATACTATTCTTCTTAAAAAAAACCTTCACCGGCGGTCTTAGGAAGTCACAGCGACCGATACTCCACCGCAGAAGGTGCCTCGTAAGGTGTTGTCGGCGAGCTACGCAACCAGTGCCGAGATCGGAGGTTCTTGACGACAGAGAAAATGGAAGTCAAGGTATATTGCGGCTAGTTTTAGGCGTTATAAGTTGATTCGCGTTATTTAAAAAAAAATTAACTATTTTGGCGTATCGTTAGGGTTTTGATAATCAGTCACAGCTGGAATTTATCTCTTTTATTTCTCTTTACTTTTAGAAAATTTTACATAATCTTTAAAATTTGAGAGAAATGAGGAAGGACAAAAGAAAACTGGCGCTCCATTCTAATATTATTCAATTTCGTTGATAAAATTAAATTCAAATTTCTAACCATCGAGACTCAAAGGATAGCCTTTGTCAATAATTTCTGTTAAATTTGGGGGAACTAGGCACGTGACAATTCTTCCAATTTGGAAGAATTGCCTAAAGTGGAATGAACTGCTCAACCATCCGAAAATGCCAATGTTTTAAACATTGAAAGTGATGATAATCTCGGGTCAAATTCACCAACTACACGACCTGCTGTTTCTTGTTTGAAGCGAATTCAAGATGATTTCCCTAAGTTTGGGGATTAGAAGGATAGTTCTTTATTAGATTTCGGTAAAATAGTAAAGCTTCTCCAGGAATCTATTGTTGGGAACAAGAATCATAGGAATGACGCTGATATGGCTAGCAAATTTGAATAGCTTGATCCTTCCTCGCATCAAGGATGCTAATGGAAGAAGGCCTGGTGATCCCCTTTATGATAAGAAGGCTCTTTATATTCCTCCCAATGTTCTCAAGAAAATCAGCATCTCAAAAACAATATAGGAGTGTCAAATGCCAATACATGGGCGTTCTTCTCTTCTTTAAAGTGGTTAGTAATTGTTGCATCACATTTTAGTTTCATTTTGTTACTAGCTATTGCCGGCATTGGATTATATGTTAGTCATATATTTATTGTTTTTCTTTAGCTATACTTTGATTTGTCACCCTTAATGTGCCTTGATTATTGCATGTGATTAACACTAGCAAGCGTCTTGCTTCAAGATAAATGCTATAAAATTTTCCTACTGCGAAATATGCTTAATGTATATTGACCTGGCATGTAATCTAAAATTACGACACTTTCTGGTTTCATCAAATTGGGTTCTCCACCAAAGTTCCCTGCCCATGATTCTTGAATAAAAATTCAGCTACTTATATGACTTTAGAACGCCATGGCTGTGCTCAATAATTTGTCTAAGTAGTTTGACTAGCAACATGGGATCTTTTCAGGTCATTTCAAGAAAATTAGTTCAAGTAATCACCCCATCTACAACCGTTGATGGTAACATTGGGCCTGATGCTGTTCATCTACTTGCTATAAAGGAGGTTGGTTTTATGTTTATGTTGGTTATGTTCATATTCATGCATTCAAATTTTTAGTTTTGCTGTGTCTGCTGAATGAATATATCTGGCTTATCTGTTAAATGATTTTTCTCTGGCTTGAATTTTCTGATGTTTTCCTGAAGCTTTTCATACTGTATGTGGATGTATTTTACTATATTCTCCTTCTTTGACTCCTTGAAGTGACCTTGCCTTTCTCTTTCTTTCTTTCTTTCTTTTAATTTAATTTTGTAGATATGGGTTGCTAAGGTGGGATCTGTTGAATGAACATAGGGCATACCTCTCATACCATATTTTCATGCTTGAACTGTCAGCTATTTGCTTGAAGCTTATCTGTAATGTACATTTTACTTTGCTCTCCTTTCTTGACTCCTTGAAGTGATATTTTCTTTCTCGTTATCTCTGTTTCTCACTCATTTTTGTAATTATGGCTTGGGGAGGTGGAATAGTCAGATTCAGAGGGTCAAGTATATACGTAATGTCTATATATTTATGTATGCATGCATGCTTCTACCTTTTCTGCATGAGTTGACGTGGTAGTTGATTTCATAGTGTTGTGTTAGGTTTTTACCTCTTCAAATCTCTTCCCCATAAGTTATTGCTGTTTATTTTTCCATTTTAAAATTATTTACTTTCCTATTTGTAATTTTAACATTTAGTGGAATATATTATGATTGCATAATGCTTTTGTACATAAGGCAACCATGGAATGGAGAATAGTTCTACTATATATGGGTTTGCTTTTGTTGATTGTGCTGCTCGAAAATTTTGGGTTGGTTCCATCAGTGGTGATTCTACTTGTGCTGCTTTGGGAGCTCTATCGATGCAAGTAGGTTCTTGTGTTTTCCTGCAATTGCTCTTTATGTTCAGAAATTAAGCTCTAATGTACTTATTGGAATCTGATTTTAGGTGTCTCCTAAGTAGAGGTGAACTTTATATTCTGGGATTAGATCTTTTTCTTTTGTAAAAAGGAATATTAAATTGAAATAGATTTAAACATATAATAGGGTTATCAATGGTGAAAAATGCCTACCTTTATCTGGTCATTTAGGCAGTGCTAGCTGACCAATGTGGTATTAACATTGATTTTGTGGGAACTGATTGCTTTCAAGTAACAGATTTGATTTCAGCAATGATTTCAGTTCTCTGGTACGTCACTGACATGATTTCTGCCAGAACCATGATTTTACAGATATAGATGCTGAAATGCTTTCTATACTGATTGAATTATTTATTGAAAAAGCTACTCAATGGTCTCAAGTCATTCATGCCCTAAACTGCATTGATTTACTAAGATCTTTCACAGTGATTGCAAATTTTTCATCTGGGACTGTTGCAAGACCTGTCGTGTTGCCCCAATCAAAAACCATAATTTTGAACCAAGGAACAGGAGGATCAATACTTAAAATTAAAGGGCTTTGGCATCTGTTTGCACTTGGGGAGAATGGGGTACTGCCCCATCCCAAATGACATTTTCCTGGGTGAGGATGTTAAAGACTATCATCCCCATGCTTTGCTATTGATTGGACCCAATATGGGTGGAAAGTCAACTCTCTTACGTGCCACTTTTCTGGCTGCTATACTGGCCCAGATTTGTTTCTCTTGGTCCCTAAGAGCTCGTGCTAATTAAACACATTCATTCGCAGGTTTCTGGGATCAGCATGTTTTGATATTAGTCTCACCCACTGCCACTTTGTTTCATACATGGTACATGTTAATTTTTTGATATGCAGCTGGGCAGTTATGTGCCATGTGAGACGTCTTCTCTCACTTGTGGATATAATTTTTACAAGGCTTGGTGCTACTGATTGAATCATGACTGGCGAGAGCATGCTTACTTTACAAACCAATAATTGTTGACTTCTTTGACTTTCTTGTGGTTCAAAGTTGGCTTTGGTGTTTCAAATGAATATGCTTGGCTCATGTGAATGTACTATGTGTTATAATTTTTCATATTGACTTGGGAGTCATGGAACTTGTGTGCTTTGATTCTTATACAGTTAACTATTGGAATTTTCAAATACGTAAATTTGCCTTTAAAAATTGTGGTTTAATAATTAGTTACATCGTTGAGTACCTCAATTAATTCAGCATAAGTTAATCTCAGGATTTCACAAACGGTTACAAGCATGTTCCTTGATGTGCCGATAGCCTTACATAAGTGTATGTACTGCATGACTACATGTACCTTTTCAGTTGCCAAGTCTGATTGTGCAACTAACTTTTGTAGGTACCCTCCTTCTGGAGTGCACAGCATCAATTTTTCAAAATGCTACCCATGATTCTCTTGTTCTCCTTGGTGAACTG